CACGGAGCTTTGCTACAGCAGAGACATGACGATCGACGGGTTCTCTACACGTGATTCGCCTACACATGGACGGGAAAACATAAACAGCGCAGGCGCGACGGAACGAGGGCTTGTGGGTAATGAAGTACTGCGTCAACATGCAGCCCATTTTTTAATGGCGCTGTTCCTTAAGTGCGAACTACATTTCCCAGAAGCTAATGAATTTGGACGCGCCCACCAAAATATACCGTTATCTCCTAAAAGTTGCAAACAAGCATCAGGACATTTATTGTCATCACTCTAATGGACTACAACGCTCTGGTAGCCTATTATAAGAAGTAGAATTTCATCATTTTGTCATTTATACATTAGTGATGTCTTAAACATTAACATTCATATCTGATGTAAGATATTATCTGTAAAAATAGCTGCTATGCAAAAATGATTCTGTGCATAAAGCATTGTATTACAGTCTGCTGTTCCACTGGTCATTGTGAGCAGGGCAGTGTGTGACAATAACTAAGCTCTCCTCCCAGCATATGATTATGAGGCCAGATGGTGTCCTAGCTCACTATGGCTGCCCTCCCCCACTCACCATTCATGGCTGCACTCTTACCTCCATAGGGCCTTTAAATAGCTCCTACGGCAATCTATCGCTGCTTGTAAACACACTGCACCACTGTAATGATGTCATATTTTATCAGGGATGTGTTTTGCCTACTTGGAATAAGACAAACACTGGACATGGGTTGTTTTAGATCCTTTAAAACAGCATCATTAACACCTGCACCTGATCATTAATATTTCATTTAATAATGAGACAAAAGAGGGTGTCTCTGCAGCATATTACCTTCACTGTCATCACTGTATCATCTCTCCAACAGTTCAGAGCTGAAACACTGAGAGCAAGACAGAGAGACAGAATTCACTGCTGGGCTACTGGCAATATGAAATCCATGTCTATAGAGCTGTGAAAATTGCTTATGGCAGCCTAATTGCAGTTATTGTAAATCTAGACTGAAGCTTTAATGAAATTTCTAATTTTAATAATTTGTTATTTATATAGTCCACATTTACTGACTCTATACTTGAAGGACCCCGTGTTTCCTCATCTGACATCACAATGAAACGCCTCTCCTCAGCAGATAACTGGAACTGTGCCATCAAACAATGATTTCCTCTCACTCTGTGGGGAACGAGAATGCCATTTTGGCGGCATTCATGGCCCTAAGTGTAAAGCTTCGCAAGCGTAGATCTGCAGGATATTTATAATGACCATGATCATTTTGAATTAATTCATATACTAACTTACATATGTCCAATTCAGAATGTAAGCAGTACTCACAATAAGAGCTGCTGACTCTTCAGCTGCTCTTTGCTTCATGAAAGCAATCCAAAACAATGAGCAGAAAGATGGTGAATCTCTCCGCAGGGCTGAAGGGAAGAGTTTGGTATTTCTTTTGGTATACAAGAGTCCTGAAGTTAAATTTCATACCTTCGAAAGATCTTTTTAAAAGACTTTTAAGACATCATTGCCTCTTTGACTTTGAGTCCAACCATTTGTCCAAAAAATAGCATATCCCCATTCGCTTGATAGTTTAACACCTGGAATAGAGGAGCCAAAACTCTATCAAACTGCACTCAGTCAGTCAGTGAGCACACTAGTTGCCTTCCGTCTCACCTAAAACCTTCCTATTTATGACTGAACTGAAAGCGAAAAACATCTACAGTCAGGTCCATAATTATTTGGACAATGATACAGTTGTCGTCATTTTGGCTCTGTACACCACCACAATGGGTTTTAAATGAAACAATGAATACCTGCTTAAAGTGCAGACTCTCAGCTTTCATTTAAGGCTTTTTTCAAAAATGTAGTATGAACCGTGTAGGAATTACAACCATTTCTTCACACAGTCCCCCAACTTTAAGGGCTCATAAGTATTTGGACAAACTAACATAATCATCAATTAAACAGTCAGTTTTAATACTTGGTTGCAAATCCTTTACAGTCAATGACTGCCTGAAGTGTTGGACACATAGGCATCATCAGATGCTGGGTTTCTTCCCTGGTGATGCTCTGCCAGCCCTTTACTGCAGCCGTCTGCACTTCCTGCTTGTGTTTTGGGTGTTTTGCCCTCAGTTTTGGCTTCAGCAAGAGAAACGCATGCTCAGTTGGATTCAGGTCAGATGATATGACTTGGCCATTGCAGAACATTCCACTTCTTTGCCTTAAAAATGTCTTTGGTTGCTTTTGCAGTATGCTTCAGGTCAATGTCCATCTGCACTGTGAAGCATCGTCCAATGAGTTTTGAAGCATTTGGTTGAATCTGAGCAGATAATGGTGCCCCAAACACTTCAGCTTTCATCCTGCTGCTCTTGTAAGCAAGACAAGACTTCACTAGAATAAATACAGAGGGTTTATCACAAGATGCAAACCATTGGTTAGCCTTAAAAATGGAAGGCCAGATTAGAGTTTGTCAAAAACCATCTAAAAAGCCTGTACAGTTGTGGAACAGCATACTATGGACAGATAAAACAAAGATCAACTACCAGAATGATGGGAAGACAAGAGAAGGAAGAAGGGAAGGAACTGCTCATGATCCAAAGCACACCACCTCATCAGTGAAGCATGGTGGAGGTACTGTTATGTCATGGCCATGTATGGCTGCCAGTGGAACTGGTTCTCTTGTATTTATTGATGATGTGACTGCTGACAAGAGCAGCAGGATGAAAGCTGAAGTGTTTGGGGCACCATTATCTGCTCAGATTCAACCAAATGCTTCAAAACTCATTGGACGATGCTTCACAGTGCAGATGGACATTGACCTGAAGCATACTGCAAAAGCAACCAAAGACATTTTTAAGGCAAAGAAGTGGAATGTTCTGCAATGGCCAAGTCATATCATCTGACCTGAATCCAACTGAGCATGCGTTTCTCTTGCTGAAGCCAAAACTGAGGGCAAAACACCCAAAACACAAGCAGGAAGTGCAGACGGCTGCAGTAAAGGGCTGGCAGAGCATCACCAGGGAAGAAACCCAGCATCTGATGATGCCTATGTGTCCAACACTTCAGGCAGTCATTGACTGTAAAGGATTTGCAACCAAGTATTAAAACTGACTGTTTAATTGATGATTATGTTAGTTTGTCCAAATACTTATGAGCCCTTAAAGTTGGGGGACTGTGTGAAGAAATGGTTGTAATTCCTACACGGTTCATACTACATTTTTGAAAAAAGCCTTAAATGAAAGCTGAGAGTCTGCACTTTAAGCAGGTATTCATTGTTTCATTTAAAACCCATTGTGGTGGTGTACAGAGCCAAAATGACGACAACTGTATCATTGTCCAAATAATTATGGACCTGACTGTATGCTCTCTTCAAAGCCAGACTCCAATACTAATGTTTGTTTTCTTTTAACAAAAATGCATGTGTTTCGGAAGCAATGAGCATATGACTGGATACATGAGACTTGGATTATACTGCACGAGTAGTGTGAGACTTTAAAAATGAATGTTTTGATACTACTTTCGCAGTATCGAATGTGGTCCACAATCATTAACCTGCCATTTTCTGTGGAGGCAGGCGATAAAAACAAAGTTTTCTTCATGAATCCAAGATAACATGGCATCATTAATTGATTCACAAATGGTAATTTTGTGGGTGAAATATTCCTTTAAAGGGAATACTTTGCTGATTTTCAACCAGCTCTGTATCATAACAATGTAGGTGGTATGTGTAAATGAACTGTCTAACCTCCCTCCATCTTAGCAGCACCCAGATCTCCCTGCTGATCTCACAATCCCCTTTATTCCTATCAAAGTTACTCAGCGGCACATGAAGCCAAAAAATTCAATGTTTCGACTGTCACTGCAGTGATAGTCGAAACATGTCAAGGTAAACTACATCTCCTTAAAAACTCATTGTCTGAAAAAAAGAAACCTTTTAACACTGAATCTAATTTGAGTAGACAAAATGAACCTATTTACACTATGAAGCCAAAAAAGTTCAACTGCTGAGTATAAAATTACCCAAATGATTGGAACTGCTTCTACTGTGTACGGTACAGCAGGAACACAAGAGACTACCGCTGACCGAGCCGACTAGTTCTGGTTAAGCGCGCCACTGACTGGAATGGGGATAAAATTATTCAATCATAGAGCTTTTCTAGACTTTCTAAATGTTACTGGACCGAGTGAATCAAATTCTGATAGTGAAACAAATGATTTTGGAGGTTTTGATGCTCAAAACAAAAATGTATCCACTGATTCATAGACGTCTCTTTTACTAAGTCAATGAGAAAAAGTCTTTTTGAGCCACAGGGCATCATTTGATGTGATGTATTTACACCATTTGGCAACTACCAAAAACTAGCTTCAAAGTGATTACATCATACTGTTTCTTGTATTGTAAACACAGAGGGTGAAAACACTGACATCAAATGGTAAAACTAAGAAGCGTTGATAACATATGAACCAGGATTCTGATACTGTGTTGCCTTTTACTTGCCTTAAATGTTGTCTGAAACATATTTTAGCTCACTGATTAGCTGTTACACAAGAATGTTGTTAATAGCAGGCTATTGTATTGTTTCCTGTGTTAAAACAGACAAGCTGTCATGATGTCACCCACCAGCAGGAGCCCTTATAGGTCCGATGTGGCGCAGTGCATTCTGGTAGTTGTAGGATTTCTACCTCTTGAGCAAAGGCAACTGCCACAGCCTTCTGCCTCTATTTTCTCTGGTCATGTAGCACCAATTTCAGCAGTAAAATACTACTTAGACTTTTAAACATTTCTAAGGCTCTAAATTGTTGCTGTTTATCAGCTTTTGATATTTTAAGACCCTACAGACACCCTATAATAACATTCCCATCAGCCCAGCTGAACTTTGTTCAGTGCTAACAGCAAATGGCTAATGCTAACAGCCTTGCGACTGGTAGACTTCAGTATCACAGTGTTAGGTAGTGCCTTGCTCTTTGTCTTTATGTGTATGTTTTCTGATACAAAGTTCAGTCCCATAACCAGTTTATTTAGCCAGTTTTAATTACATTATGGCACTGATGCAAAGCACTAAAAACTGCAAAAAATACCAAACTTTTCATTCCAGGCTTTTCAAGGCCCCCTCCTCCCACTGGGGCCCTGGGTAATCAGTCCAACTTTTAATCCCTACTACGACGCCCCTGGTGATGCTTTTATTCCAGTGTGGATTCGCTGATGAATCTTTAAGCATCCCAAATGTCTGAAACTGTCCCCACACTGGTCACAGACGTGAGGTTTATCTCCAATGTGGATACACTGGTGGATTTTAAAAGGTGTAGACTGTCTGAAACTCTTCCCACACTGGTCACACACAAAAGGCTTTTCTCCAGTGTGGATATACTGATGACTCTTGAAGTCCCCTAACTGCCTGAAACACACCCCACACTGGTCACAGACGTGAGGCTTTTCTCCAGTGTGGATACGCTGATGAATCTTCAAGTTCCATGGGCGACTGAAATTCTTCTTACAGCGGTTACAGCGGTGCTGTTTCTCTGTAGTTCGGGTGAGCTTATGTTGGTCCAGCTGTTCTTAACTTATACTATCCTTGCCCTCACCATGTGGTCCTTCTAGGTTTTTGCAGGCGTGTTTCTATGAAGTAAAAAACAAATGGACAGAGAAAGAGACAGTCAGTCACAAGCATAAGAATATAAAATGGAATCCTAATTTGTAATTACTTGCAATAAAGTTGTTCTATACACCGCAAGTAGTGCCTAAGTAAGAAATTATCAAATTCCACACAGTAAATTACTGTAAAACTTCAATAAAAAGCCAAGTCCCAATTAAACACCCAGTCCCTTTTACTAGCCTGGTGTGGCGACACATTTTGTCTAAATCAGACGCCTGGTCTGGTTGCTGAGCAGCTCATTTAAGAGAAGATTAGTTAGCTATTTAGGTCACACATACACATATAAATGTTTAAACTTTTGTGAATAAGGAGTAGTAAGAGCACCAAAGAAGACATTTATTTATTGAAATTTACTGGCCTGGTAAACAAGAGAAATGTGTGGAATTTGATAATTTCAGAGTCAGAATATTTGTCCATTCCTCAATTACCCAGTAAGTTATTCATATTCCTTCAAATTTCAACAAAAGAATCAAAAGGTTTTTCATAAAAATTAATCCAAGTTGTAAGTATTGTTTTAACTGGATAAAGTGGTGGTGTGTCAGTATGCCGGGTGCCGTAATCCTCTGGTGCCATAAAACCAGTGATGCCCTGTCTGTCAGAGCTAGATCAAATAAATGATTCATAATTGAGCCTAATCTATAAACAAGTTATATTCCATCCATCCATTCATCTTCTAACCGCTTCATCCTCTTGAGGGTCGTGGGGGGGCTGGAGCTTATCCCAGCTGACATTGGGCGAAAGGCAGGGTACACCCTGGACAGGTCGCCAGACTATCGCAGGGCTGACACATAGAATGATGAGAAACATTAAAGGCCTGTCCCAAATATAACTGGACATTGTCACCTGCAGTGCACCCATGACTCTCATGCATAGTTAGTCTACACTGCTATTTATTTATATTCATATTCATTTAACTGGTCATTTATTCCATTATGCACTTTAAATACCAGACGCCTCTTAGTCCAGGGCTCCTTACACTCTAAGTGTGCTTTTATTTATCTGTATATGTATATACTATGTACACATGTATGTATACATGTGTGATGTGTATGTATCTTCTATAACTTGACATGATGTGTATGTGTATATATATTTTTGGCAACTTATTATCTCTATATTTTTATACTTGCAATGTGTGATATGTATATATTTTTATCTTTGTATTTTTATATCCTGTAAGTGTATGATGGCACCTTGGGGCTGGGAAAAAGTGCAATTTCATTCCCATGTACTCTGTATGTGGAAATGACAATACAGATACTTAACTATAGACCTGTTGAGTTCAGTGATTTAAGCAATCAATAGCTGGAGCTACTAACTGAAGTTTTACGGTATAAATTATAGTAACCTACCTTCACTGGTGAACTCTTTTGCTGTTTGTGTTACCCTTTTTTTTTACCACATATTTTTCCATCTGCAACAATGTAAAATACAGTAAAACTCATCACCCAAACACATGAATAAATAACCATCTGTTTCATTGACCTTGAACCATCAGATAGATAGCATTTATCCAAAATAGAGGTATTGTCTCTCACTGTGCTTTAGGGTTTGCCTTTTTTAATAACTGCAGCTTTAAAATTAACTAATGAGTTGATTGCACTAAATACCAACATGTGTTTTAGAGTGTAAAATAAACAAAGATGGCTGGTTCCTGGGTTGGTTCCTCTATCAGTGTCTTGTGGTGAGATACTCAGTGGTGTAGAGGGTTGCCTGTACCATAGAAATATAGTATCATTGCTAACAAATGTCTGAGTGAGTGTGATAACAGCGGATATAAACCAGGGCTTGCGCAGGACTGAGTGACAGAGGGGGTGTGTCCATGGGTGCAGATCCCGGGGGGGACGGGGGGGACATGTCCCCCCCAAATTCTGAAAAACTATATTCTAAATAGCTTAAATGATTGAAATTGAACAAATGTATACAGTAGTCCTATATACTGGGAGAAAGGGAAGATGATGAGGAGAAATGGGAATCCGTGAGAGGCGAGAGATGAGAATGTGAGTGGACATAACATGCCTGAGACCCTGAAACTAGAAGTAGCATTAACTAACAGCGAAGCAGTGAAAAGGAGGGTAATGGCTGGTTCCATGTACTACTGGCTGTTTAAGAGAAATAAACAGTAAAGGTAAGCATATGATTCTCTTTGTAGTGCTTTTTGAATGACTTGGTGATGGTGATGAGCCTCTATGAAATCGTGAAATATGCTGGCAATCTCAAGCACTCTGTGGGCATGATTTGCACGCGTGCAATTAAAAAAAAATCACAACTGATTGTGCCCCCCCCCCCAAACTTGTCATCAGATCTGCACCCATGGGTGTGTCTGTCCCCCGGTCAGTGACAAGGCGTGTAGGGCTGTGGAGAGCTTAAAACGCGGGTGCTTGGAGCCTCAGTCCCGGACACCAGCAGAGCAGAATAGCGACACTGTATTATCTCTTATGTGAAGCCATGTAGTGATGAAGGACCGCCGCTTAAAACATGTCACTAGCAAGGCTACCTCACAGTCCAAACCCTGTTTGTGTCCCCCAGAGAGAAGAAGACAGGTGTCAGTGCTGGCACCAGCTCTGGGGGAAACATACAAGTTGTAAAGTCTAACCTGAGGAGTGATGGGCGACTAAACACCTGTTTTAGACTCAGAGACACTGAATACTGACCTGAAAGACAAACACAGCCGCGGTGTAAGATGTCGACAGGTCGGCTCAGCTCCTTTAAAATAACCGCCGAGTGAATGACAGAAATGACTACTTCGTCCCGTCCTCTACTTCTTCTTCGGGGTTTAAATGGCGGTTGACAAACCAGTTTTTAGGTGTATTACCGCCATCCAGTGGACTGCTGCTGGACTGCAGTGTAGTGCAGTAGATAGGCAGGAAACAAAATAAAAACAAAACACCTAATTTCTCTCTATAATTCCTGTTCTCACTTAAGTAATAAACTAGAAGCTGACGTACTTTCCTATTGTCTTGTAGGCAACCTGCATCTCCAGAGCCATATTTATTAACTCCTGTATTTATTTTACGTCTATTTTTACTATTTTTGGCACTGTTTTTTGCTCTTTGCTCCTTAAACACTTCTTATCTTGTATTTTTTTTTAATATTTTGACTGATACTAGGCCCAGTGTGTGACCTTGATCTGTGGAACCCTGTGGTTGTTCTGGTTGTTACTGGTTTGTGAACATTAATTGTTGTTGCTGTAATATGTGTTACTCTCATTCAAAGCATTCTCTGACACAAGAATTTCCTTCAGGATAAATAAAGTTATATCGAATTGAATTTTCTCCAGTCAGCCCATAACGTCCTTCATTTTTCATCACATCACCTGCAATCTATTGGTATGTTTCACAGTTTCCAGTTTGTTACGGTGACTAGAGGACGTTGGGTTCTCATGTCACCCTCATGGAGTCTGTTTCTGACAGTTTGGTCAGAAACATGCACACCAGTAGCCTGCTGGAGGTCATTTTGTAGGGCTCTGGCAGTGCTCCTCCTGTTCTTCCTCGCACAAAGGAGCAGATACCGGTCTCTTGATGTCTTCTCCATGCTCTTGAGACTGTGCTGGGAGACACAGCAAACCTTCTTTAGTATGGATGTGCCATCCTGGAGAAGCTGGACGGCCTGAGCAACCTGACTGGGCTGCAGGTACCACCTCATGCCACCAGTAGTGACAAGGATACTAGCAGAACACAAAACTATAGAAGAATCAGGAAGTAAGGATAAGGAGAGAGCAACTGTCTGTTGCCACCACATGATAAACCATAAGTGCTAATATCGTAGGCAACTGGACTTGCTTGCGTTTCTTGAAGACGTTTCGCCTCTCATCCAGGAAGCTTCTTCAGTTCTAAATGACTGGTACGAAGTTGCAGGCTATAAACCCTGTGTGGGTGGGAACCCTTGCGGAGTCGTTAAGGTCACAATGACTGTGATCTTAACGACTCTGAAACTAAGAGCTCACATGACCCCTACGAGTCTGCAAGGGTTCCCACCCACACAGCGTTTACAGCCTTCAACTTCATACCAGTCTTTTAGAACTGAAGAAGCTTATTGGATGAGAGGCGAAACGTCTTCAAGAAACGTAAGCAAGGCCAGTTGTCTACGATATTAGCACTTACGATTACCATGACCTAGATGACTGACAATATTCACCGACCACATGATAAACCATTCCCTTTTTGGGCTGTCTTGCTTTTGCCTCTACTTTGCACCTCTTGTCACTTTCATTTGCACCAAAGCAGGTGAAACTGACTCACAATCACTTGTGCTTCCTAAATGGACAGATTAATATCCCTGAAGTTTAATTGACTTGGTATTATACTGTGACTATTAAATGTTTCCTTCATTTTTTTGAGCAGTGTTTACTAGCTGTGGGTGATATGAATGCTGATATCTCATGATAGTCTAGAGAATGTTGAGATTTTATAGGGCCTGGTCACAACACATCACACACCTGTCTCCATGATATTAAAAGTTCCATGGCTGATAAGCTTCAGCAGAATAACGTCTGTGAGTTTTGGGAAGAAGTTAAGGTTATCAGTAACAGTAGGATTAACTTGCCATCGAATTTTGATGGGGTTACTGGGTCTGACAATATTGCTGAACTGTGGAGAAAACATTATTGGAATATTTTAAATGTGTTAAGATGCATTGTTTTTTTTTAAAGAACTACTAATATAACATCAAAATGTAATGAATGAATCCTTTAAACTGCTGTTTCTGTAAGCAGCTCCACTGAATGTCAGCACGTGAGGTGCATTAAGATTCAAGGTAAGGCCCCTTTAACTTTGACTGAAGCATTAAGGCAACAACATTCAAGCTTTGTCTGAGATTTGTGATCAGCTGTGTGATTTGCAAATAAAAGGTCTTGGTGGACAAAGTGCCCCAGGCTCACAATGAGAGAGGGCCCCTTTTGAAAAGACTGATAACTCTGCCAGGCAAACTGAATCCTCTGCATGGTTGCATCACATTAATTAAAGGTCTGTTTACACATGCAAGTTGGGCCAAATGAGTAAAGTGCCGAAGCAACGACATTCTTTCCACATTATCTCCGCCACCGATGCCCAACATTTCCACAGTGCCCTGAAAAAGAGGAACTATGGAGGAGGAACTCACTGAGGAGGAGGGATGACTTCCAGTAATTGGACTAAGAGCTGGATTCACTGGAATTCTGTGTATCACGTGAAAACGAAAGCAGTTGTGTACAGAGTGGGGCTTTGATGGTGATTGCAGTGTTTACACCTCCTGTGTTGCCATGAGCCCATGTGACAGAAGAATGGGGGGAGGCAGGGGCTTCACACAGGGAGAAAAGGAGCAAGGCACAAGAATGTGAAGAGAGATGGAAACAAGAGCGTGGGCGAACAAAGTAAAGTTGTAGTAGCTGGAAATTAAGGTAAGAAAGTGACTTTATTTCTTAACTTATCATTATGATATATTTTTATTAGTAAGGCATGAAGACATGCTTATTGCACAACGACTTTCTTTTTCTTTTTAAATAAAAACAGTAACAATATATGGGTGTCCGGGACGGTTTCAGTATTTAAATAAGTATCTTCAAGTTAGGCATCTTTCAGTGGGTGTCATGTGTAAGTGTAAATGTAAATGTAAATGTATTCTCTTTAACTCTCAAAACTTATGTTAACTTCTCCATCACTAAAATTTCTTGGAGAGTTTCCAGCCTGTGTTCCTGTTTTGGGGACTCTTCTTTGTGCCAGTGCCTTGTGATAGCTTTCGTACTTGACTCAAGTAAATATCTTTTCTCATCACAGCACCTTTTATGTACCCGTGATACATCACAAGGCAGGCATTCGGGATTTTATATCCCAAGGCATTTTTAACAGCCACATGAGTATTTTCCCATTATATGACCTGATCCTTACAGTTCCAAAAAACATGGTCAGCCTCCCTGTTCCCACACAGCCTCCAGTGGCATTGCTGTACACCCAGCTGCCTGCTTTTTAATTTGGCTGTTATGAAAAAGCGGGTTAACATTCTTCCAGCAGAACCCCCCCCCGTGTCTCAACGACACGGGGGGGGCGGTGGTTGCACAACACTATTTAGGAGGATTACATAATGTCAGATTCTTGTTTACACCTGCAGATGTACATATGTTGACATATCTGCAGGAAAATAAAGTAATAACTGCTGAATTTTAAAGATTACACCAACTACACACAATCAGTTGTAAAGCTATTTTTTTAGCTACTATCTGAGCCCGGTCTCACTCTGAAGTTGTCGAAATCCCGCACTTGGGCAGCGACTTGCGGCATCGGAAACCAATGAAAAAGGCGTCGTTAAAGGCCTTTAACGTCGGCATGATACACAGCCGGTTGCCATTATAGTTTATTCGCACCCGACGGCGTCAGGGGGAAATGCGGCGGGACAAGGACGAAAGATTAGGTGGTGAAAGTCCAAGTGGAGCGGACTGGAGGGGTGGTGGATGGGTCCAACAAACCACAAGTTTCACCCGAGAGAGCGGTGTTCGCATCCCGTGAGATACTAAAGCAAAACCCTGTTCTTTTTTTCCTAAACCTAATCACATGCTTTTGTTGTGTTTGTTGTTGAAGGAAAAAAAAGTCAATTCGCTGCATTGTTCCGACGTAGTGCATTTATTTTGAAAGAGACTGTTTGTAAATGATTCATTTCCTGTGAAAACAGAAGTGTATTGTAGAAGCAGACAATGCACGTAACAGGCAGAACTTGACAGTGTCCCAAAACGTCAACAACCAACGCACCCAAGGTACCTTGCACTTTGTATGTGAACGTGGAAACCAAACGTCAATATGTGACAAGGTTGGAGTGAGAATATGTTGACTATAAGGGGTTTTGAGGTTGGTAGTCAATGGGGAAAGTGTTTTTCAAACTAAAGATTGATTTTTTTTTTCTTTTGCAGCACTTCTTCAAGGCTAAATCTATACTCGGTTCTCTTAAAAATCCCCTCCGGACATGTTTTATACCATATAATACATGTCTGTTTAGAATAGTAATGTGTGTCTGATGTGGGTTTTACTTAAAAAGTTAAATTACTTGGTAAAAAAAAATCCAGAATATGCAAATATTTTTCATAAAAAAATTAAATGCTGGACATAAACGTTCTTTGAAAAGAAGAAGAGGAAGTACTCTATGCAGAAATATTTAAATCCATTTAATAAATCAAAATTATCCAGAAAGCAGCAAGACCTCTTATTTAAGAAGCTGAAACCATGAAATGTTTTTGCATTTAAAAAATGACTTCAACAATCATCATATTTTAATGATTGTTGAAGTCATATAAATTTTTCTTTCTTGACTAATTGTTACAGCTGCCCTTTCATATGTATTTTCATATGATTCGTGAGCAAAGTTCTGAATTTGTTAAGTAACTAGTAACTAAAGTTATGAAATAATTGTAGTGGAGTAAAAAGTACAAGATTTCCCTCCAAAGCAGTGGTTCCAACTGGTGGGTCATGGTCCAAAAGTGGGTCGCAGGTCCACTCTAAATGGACTGCAAGTGACTCACAAGCGTGTCAAGTTCGAGAAATCACACTTCATTTTTATGTACAGTGAATTTCCAGCACAGAGCTTTTATTTTGAAGTGCTGTTTTCTGCTGTAGAGTGAGTAACGGACACCTACTTTACAGAGACAGCAAACTATCTTGACAACACTCTAATATAGTGGATGGTCGGTAGGTTGGTAGGTCGATAAGTCGAAAGATAGGTCAATTGAGATAGATAGATAGATAGATAGATAGATAGATAGATAGATAGATAGATGAGCCCTATTAAAGTACTGATTTAATGAATAAACAGAAACTACATTTACATACAGAGCTGAGGTGCTTGTTTAGGAGCGCAAAGTAAAGTTAAATAAGTACCCAACTAAATTAAAAGCACCCCAAATTTGCACCTCAATACATTACTTGAATGTTGACATGCAGGTTAATCTGTGACTTTAAATTGCCCATAGGTGTGAATGTGAGTGTGAATGGTTGTCTGTCTCTATGTGTCAGCCCTACTGTGGTAGTCTGGCAGTCTATCCAGGGTGTGCCCCACCTCTCACCCAGTGTCAGCTGGATAGGCTCCACACCTCCTGTGACCCCCAACAGGATAAGTGGTTACGGAAAATGAATGAAATTGACCATGTCAGAAACAAAGATGGAAGGATTTTGGAGTTCTTGGCACAGTAAGGGTTGATGAATCATTCACCCTTGTACAATATTAAACAGACAGCAAGTATGAAAAAACTTGTATTCAAAGAAAAAGAATAAAGAATGAACAAAAACTTCTTCATTTGGAAATTTGCAACGTGCTAAAAGCAAATGAGTGGGTTCATGAGTGACTTATAAGCTGCTTATATGAGATACATTACATAAAAAAGGAAAGTACTCAAACTATACAACCTAATACTGAATTGACTGCATCTATATATGTGTATAAAAGTCTAATGAAGAAAATCTAATACCTTTGTTGTTAAAGTATTTGATGTTCTTTGTGTGACAGGTGAAAGACACAGCACTGTAAACACACAGTGTTTGGACGAGCGCGACAATGAATGTGACAGAAGTCTACAAGGGAATAGCCAATATCTATAAAGAGGGAAATGCCTCTGGCAATGGAAGCATGGGGCTCTTCAACATCCCCCCCTCCATAAACAAAGCAACCAATGTCTTCTCCATTGTCATCCTCTTCATCACCATGATATCTCTCGGCTGTACGATGGAGATTTCCAAAATCAAGGTCCATCTCTTAAGGCCAAAAGGAGTAGCCATCGCACTGCTGGCCCAGTTCGGCCTCATGCCCCTGACTGCTTTCTCTCTAGCCAAAATGTTACAGATGGAGCCCCTGAAGGCCGTGACTGTGCTGATCTGTGGCTGCTGTCCAGGGGGAAACTTATCAAACATTTTCTCCCTGGCCTTAAAGGGGGACATGAATCTCAGGTAAACCCTCAGTCATGGATTGATTCCTGTCTTGTTGGAAGATTACAAAGTCTACTAACACAAATGTTCCTCTCAGGTGTGTTGGTCTACTAATGTTTCTTTATTCTCTGATACCCTCCAAGCATCGTGATGACCACCTGCTCCTGTATCGCAGCACTGGGTCTGATGCCTTTGCTGCTCTATATCTTCAGCCAAGGCTTCCCCGGTCTGGAAAATGCTGTACCGTATGCCGGCATCATCTTCGCTCTCGCATTCGCCCTGGTGCCTTGTGGCATTGGCATTGCCATAAATCACTACAAACCAAAGTACTCATCAATCATCATAAAAGTGAGACTCCTAAAATGCATTTTCTGTTAAAGACAGTCCTTTTTTCATAGCAGACATTAGTTGGGTTTCCATCCACCTATTTTTATTCGCATTTTCAACAATTGCGATAAAAAACTTGAATGGAAACACCAGAAATTTGAAAAAAGTTTTAACGCTTGGAGGGGGTGGAAAAGTCAGTGTATCGATATTAGGAAAATGCGACTTTTGGCAATGGAAACAGATTTAGCGAATAAACGATGACGTAGGCTACCGAATCCTACTTCTACTTCACTTCCACTCCACGAGTCCACAGTTTGGGAGTGAAGTGCTGCTGGACAACTACTTCCCAAAAGTCCTTTATGCGCCTACGTTCCCATACACACGGACAACGACGCGATGGTCCCCTTCTCCCAATTTCTAACAGTAGTACTCTGGTCAGCGAGTGTAGTCTTTCTCGTTTCTTTTTCAGGACACTTATGTATGACAACACTGATATGAGTGTGATGAGAGCTCTCGGAATAGCCAAGAAGTTCCCAAGGAATCTCTCCATCTCGTTGTAGTCATGGATGTGCCGGTAGTTGTTTACATCAGTTGTGGACATGAGACGTTCTCAATGACGTCATCTCACGGCACCCTCTTCTTCTACAGGTGTTCTTTTGCATTTTTATTTTTCACAAGAAGCGCCACCTACTGCTTGACCTGATGACTCCCAATACTGGCAAAACTTTAATGAATGGAAACATGCATAAATTCGCAGTTTCTTTTGCGCATTTTCACAAAATTCGCTTAAAATTTGCGATACATTTGGATGGAAACCCAGTTATTTTTGACATATCGTAGGAGAGAAAGCCAGCCTTTCACTGCTACACATCCTGCCTTTTGTAAGAAAGAGTTTTTTTCCCACAACTCATCATTACATGGCGTGGTTATAATTTGTGGTCCAAATACAAAGGAAGCCATAGTCCTTTAAACTAAGAGCAGACTTGAAGGTTGCAGATACGTTTTGCCACATTTGTGAATATGGAAGAAAAGCGAAGGAACATGTTTTGGTGCTGATGTTCACGTACCAATTAGGGGAGATAAACAGACCCCATTGACTCATATCACTTTCTCGACAGGGTGGTCTCGGCATCCTGATGGTCTCCTGCCTTGTAGGGTTCACCCTGTTTGGTATCGTTGTCAAAGACGTACTGTGGATGGTTCTAACACCCGATTTCCTGGTTGTGGCTGTGCTGATGCCACTGATTGGCTTTACGCTGGGATATGTCATGTCTGTCCTATGCAGACTCAGTCCAAAGTAAGTGATTACACGCTAGATGTACCCTTATCTGAGTTCCTTTCTTGGTTTTGTTTAATTTAGGGATTTATGGTGGCCTTAAGAGGTGAACCGTACCATGCATTTTTCTCATGAAATACTAGATATTTCATGAGAAAAATGCATGGTACGGTCTATGCCATTGCTCCAACAGCCCAAAATTCTGAAACCCCATTAGTCTGAAAAATGTTCCATTGGACCAAAAGCCCATTGCTTCAAAAGCCTGTTATCCCAAAAACAAATGGCCATTGCTCTGAAGTCCCGTTTCTCCAAAAACACAAAGTTTCTGCAGTTGTTTACCAACCCATCCCTGCTTGTCCAGCAACTTTTGTACCCCTAAACGAGGGTATTTTGTTAGGTATAAGCCAACGGTATGTTTATTGGGTTAATTCAGCAGTCTGTAATGATTTGGTACGGTGAACGATAACGGAAATGCTAATGCTAGTTTGCTAACTAGCTAATTTGCGGTCGTCATTTCCGGAGAGCAATAAACGGCCGTGTTTGGTTTGAGACAACACTACCCTGTCGAAATTTGCACACTACGCCAATTAGTACATACTGCATATAGTATACTACATAGAAGTATACTAATGGAAGTATGTGATTTGAGAAACACCATAAGACTATAAAACTCTGGGAAAAACAGTGGTTGGCTCCTGTATAGTTTCTTTGTTTAAAAACTAAAAGAAACAAAGGCACCTTCATACAGAAAAGAAAACTTTACAAGAAACAGTTTATAAAACATAAATTAAAAAGTAATGTAAATGTAAGTAATGTGAAAACAAATAATGTACCTTGCCAGACTGGAACACGGTTTCCTCACACAGTCGGAGACATGTAGGTGACTGGAATCTATATGTTTAAAGAATCATGTTAACATTACATAAACAGGACTGAAAGCATATTTTTATAAACAATAAAAACATCTTTGTTGAAGAAAGGCCCAGGTGAGCTCCCTGTCCTTTTTATAGACTCCACCAGTTGCTTATACTGCCTGTTACTTTCCCTACATTTAAAACAGCAAAATTCTACTGAGACATGAATGCATCAGTACTCTTCATCACATAATGTAACATGTAATAGTCAGCCCCTCGCAGGAGCCATTTTTCAGTTTTATAAGTACCTTTACTTTTGATAACTTACGGAGATTTTGCTAAAAACACTTCTCTCTTCACCTGTCCCTCAGTATTTCAAACTTCAGCTTTTTAAAATAAGTGGAGAAAAGCTTTAAATGAACAACTGAAACCTGCAAATTCTGTTATGTCAATTTCTTTCTTTCATTAGCAACAACACAAGTGCGTTTGAGTATGACATTTGAATAATGTAATATAAAAACTAATGACTCTCCTCTTTTTAGATGCAGCAGGACAGTCTCCATGGAAACAGGGTGTCAAAACATCCAGCTGTGCTTTACCATCCTAAAAGTGGCCTTTCCCCCTGAGATCATTGGACCCATGTTTTTTTTCCCAATGTTATACTACACGTTCCAGTGTGGTGAGGCCCTTCTGTTGGCCCTGTGCTTCAGATGTTACCAAGCATTCAAGCCGCCATCTGAGGGTAAGTGTCCCAGCTACCTGTGTGCTTCTGCAGAGTGAGATCAAAGGATGCAGTGGTCTAATATCTCCCTTCTTTTACACAGACGGTGTTGACATTAAAGGGGCAATCGAGGAAAAACAGAATCCTGTGAAATGAGGATGCAGCAATTCAGCATCCTCGCTGTCTCCATATCATCTACACATTCCCCACTCAGGCCTTAGATACTGACAGAAAGACTGTTGAAGCATGTGCAACTAATATTACCTAGTTATTGTTTACATAATCAGTATTTATATTTTTGTATTCAAAATATCTGATGTAAGATTGAAATTTGCAATTTTTATGATTTGAGTATGAATGAATGAGTTTATGAAATCTACTGAAGTGTCAATTGTTATTTTTTAATTGGAGAGTTGAAAAGCAGTCTGATGAAAAGGAAGGTTATAGACACCCCAAATAGTATTTAATCACAATGGCGGCAAGGTATATATACGTACATATACATTATATATATATATATATATATATATGAGTCAGTCACCATAGTCAACCTGAATTAAAACTTTTTACATATCTTAAAATACCATCTTCATGATTAAAATAATGGCCTTGGGGTTGTATGCCTTCGCTGACCAGTCAAATTGCAGTTAAAGTTTACATCCAAGTCCGTCTAGACTCACATGTAGCCATGACAGTTGGCAATGTTTCAAATAGGTTATGGATCTTGCTGCAAAGAAGCTAGCTGAAGTTATGCCGTTCAATAATGGCCAGAGAAGTGTTTTTGCATAACATTATGATGCCACAGTGAAGTTAACCTTTGACCTTCTGGATATTTAAAATGTCATCACTTCATTGTTTTATTCTATTAGACATTTGTGTGAAGTTTTGTCATAATTACATATGAATTTTCGAGTTATGGCCAAAAACATGTTTTGTGAAGTGATACTGACCTTGACCTTTGACAATCAAAATGTAATTAGTTCATTCTTAAGTCCAAGTGGGCGTTTGTGCCAAATTTGAGGAAACTCTCTCAAGGCCTTACTGAGATATTGCGTTTAGGAGAATGAGACGGATGCAAGGTCACAGTGGCCTTGATCTTTGACCACCAAATTCTAATTAGTTCATTGCTGAGTGCCAAATTTGAAGAAATTTCCTTAAGGAGTTTTTAAGATAACACATTAGCGGGAACGAGTCCAGTGCAAGGTCAGCATATGAATTCTTGACTTATGGCCAAAAACACCTTTTGTGAGGACACAGTGACCTTGACGTTTGACAACCAAAATCTACTCAGTTCATCACGGAGTCCAAGTGAACATTTATGGCAAATATGAAGACATTCTCTCAAGGCCTTCTTGAGATATTGCATTCACAAGACTGGTACGGACGTATGTACAGATGGACAGACAACCCGAAAACATAATGTCTGCGGCCACAGCTATAGCCAACATGGAGGCATATCAACAAAAACTCAGTTCGTCAGTCCAAAAATAAAGTCAATGGACAGTCAAACAAAGTCAACACTGACATTACACTAATCTGTACACTTGCTCGTTGTTGTGTTGGACCTACCCAACCATGTTTACAGTGTACAGTGTAAGCAGCTCCACTGAATGTCAGCACGTGAGGTGCATTAAGATTCAAGATACGGCCCCTTTAACTTTGACCTAACCATTAAGGCAACAACATTCTGACTGTACTTCTGCAGTCAGAATGTTGGATCAAGTGAGAGACCAGTCCATCTTTTTCGCTCTCAAACTTCGACCAAACTCCAAATGGTAAAACTTTCTGATCAAATGTAAATCAAGATCAAATGTAAACATATCGCCCCATTTCCTATCTAAAATGTCTTCAGAAACATATTTTAGTGCGCTGTTTGGCTGTAGTATGAGAATTTGTGAACAGGAAGTGGGCGCCACACTGTTTCCTGTATTGTAAAAACAAAGGCTGAAAAACACTGAGATCAAACGGTAAAACTAAGCACTGTTGGTGAGATATGAACCAAGATTCTGTTACTGCATTGCCTGTTTCTCACCTAAAATGTTTTCATAAACACAGTTTAGCTCACCATTTAACCGTAATTCAAGGTTGTTACCAGCTGGCCACCATGCAGCTTCTCTACCTCTTGAGCAAAAGCTGATGCACCCCGTCTCCTCTGTTGTCTTTGGTCCATCAGACCATCTTTGCAGCAGTGATAGAGAGCTGGTTGATGGCTTGAGCTGTAGTTGACTGCAGGGTTGACACTCACCATGTTGCCATGTGCCCATGTGACAGAGGGGGAGGAGGGCAGGGGATCCACACACAGAGAAAAGGAGCTGGGCACAAGAATATGAGAAGAGATGGAAACAGGAGCGTGAGCGAACACAGTGAAGTTGCAGAAGCTGGCTGGAAATTAAGGTAAGAAAGTGCCTTGGTTTCTTAGCTTATCATTGTGATATCTTTTGATTAGTTAGGCATGAAGGCACATGCTTTTAGAACAAAACAATGGCTGCTTCAAACAGGAGAAACAGATGTTTGGATGAGTGGGAAATTGGTAAAGTGGTTGCACAACACTCTTTGGAAATACAGGAGGTTATATAATGTCAGATTTACATCTGCAGATGGAGATATGTTGACACCTCTACAAAAAATAAAGTATTACACACACCTACACAGAATTAGTATTAAAGCTGCTTTGATTGTTGCAAGTATAGGGGGTTTTGATGTTGGTAGTCGATGGGGAAAATGTTCTTTAGACCACAGCTCTCCTAATGATCGCTTCCAGACATATTTTCATACGTATAAAACTACTCTGTTTGGAATAATAATTTGTGTCTGATGTGGGTTTTCCTCAAGAAGTTAAATAACTTAATCAGAAATCCAGAATATGCAAATATTTTTCATTAAAAACTGCTTCTGAAAAGAATGGAGGCTTTAATTTTCCACATCACACTTGTGTAAGCTGCATACTGGACTGAAAGTGGCTGCCACACCAGATGTGATGACACATAGTCACAATTATACACACGTCTCTCTGTGCTCCCCTCAGCAAACAGCAATCCAATGAAAGTCAGGTTTGGAGTAAAGCTATTATTGTAGCTGTAAACTGGGAGGGAGTATTTTGATCCTTTCCTTAAGTAAATTAACTTATATCAAACTGTAGAAAAACTTGATAGCAAAAGTCTTGCATTGAAAATGTTACTAAAGTAAAAATATGTAAGTACAATTAGGGTTAAAAGTAAAGGTGCTCAATGCAAAAAAATCACTTTAATAAATCAAAAATAATGTCCTTATATTTGAGGAAATGTTTTGCATGGAAAATGACTTTAACAATCATCGAAACTACAACATTTCCCAAAAAGAAAAAAAGAAAGAGAGATTGAGATTAAGATATTTCTCAAACTTAAGGGCAGTACTTGAGTAAATCAGCTTCTATCACTGGATGAAACCAGCTCAGCAAAATAAAGAGCAAGTCATTCAGTTACATATATTGGTGGTAAAACAAAATAATGAGTTACATGGCAGTTCCAGATGCCGTTATAGTTTAACGTCGCCCAGCGGTGTTAGAGGGGAACGTTACGGGACTAGGACCAAAGTTAAGGTGGTCAAAGTCAAACTGCGACAGGCAGGAGGGGTGGTGGATAGGTCCAACAAACACCAGCTTTCAGAATGGTGTTTGCATCCCGCAAGATCGTAAAGCCAAACCCTGTTTTTTTTTTTTCCTAAACCTAACCACGTGCTTTTGTTGCCTAAACCCAACAATGTGTGTTTGTTGTTTGACGAAAAAAAACCCATCAATTCGTGGTCTTGTACCGACGCACATTGCATGTGGACGTGGAAAGTCCATGACCAGACGTCAATATGTGACGCTGTCAGAGTGAGAATGTGTTGGCCATGTGGGCCAGATTTCTCCTTAGTCATTAGTTCAAGGTCCCACAGTTTATTACATTAAGCATTATACTTGCGTTTGACCACGTCGTCGAGCTAGTTTGCTGTCTCTGTCAAGTAATTGTCAATTAGTCACTCACTCTACAACAGAAAACAGCACTTCATAATAAAAACTATGTGCTGGAAATTTAGTGTGTGTGCTTTTTTTTTTTTTTTACAGACTTGACATGTTTGCGAATAATGTACAGTCCATTCAGAATGGGATGCGACCCACCAGACCCACTAGCGCACTGCCACTGAAAATAATTCCCACGAATTCCCTCAATACTGAAATGACTACATTTTTATATATGTATAAAAGTCTAGAATCCATTACTATAATACCTTTGCTGGTTAAGTATTTAATTTGCTTTGTGTGACAGGTGAAATCCGCAGCACCATAAACGCAGTGTTTGGATCAATGCAACAATGAATGTGACGGAAGTTTTCAAAAGATTTGCTGACATCTCCAATAATGGAAATTTCTCTGGCAATGGAAGTATGGGGCTCTTTGACATCTCCCCTGTCATAAACGCACTCGGCAACATCTTCTCCATTGTCATCCTCTTCATCACCATGATATCCCTTGGCTGTACGATGGAGATTTCCAAAATTAAGGTCCATCTCTTACGGCCAAAAGGAGTAGCCATCGCACTGCTGGCCCAGTTCAGCCTCATGCCCCTGACTGCTTTCTCTCTAGCCAAAATGTTACAGATGGAGCCCCTGAAGGCCGTGATTGTGCTGATCTGTGGCTGCTGTCCAGGGGGAAACTTATCAAACATTTTCTCCCTGGCCTTAAAGGGGGACATGAACCTCAGGTAAACCCTCAGTCATGGATTGATTCCTGTCTTGTTGGAAGATTACAAATGCATTCAATCATTAACTACTTAAGCTGGGACAGCACAATTGGTTGTCATATTACAGACTGTTGATGAACTGAAAGTTCCTTTCAGGTATGACAGTTTACTAATGATTCTTTATTCTCTGATACCATTCAAGCATTGTGATGACCACCTGCTCCTGTATCGCAGCACTGGGTCTGATGCCTTTGCTGCTCTATATCTTCAGCCAAGGCTTCCCCGGTCTGGAAAATGCTGTACCGTATGCCGGCATCATCTTTGCTCTCATGTTCTCCCTGGTGCCTTGTGGCATTGGCATTGCCATCAGTCACTACAAACCAAAGTACTCATCAATCATCAAAAATGTGAGACTCCTAAAATGCATATACTATTAAAGACAGTCCTTTTATACAGCAGAGATTTTGACGTGTCATAGGAGAGAAATCCAGCGTGCATGCATAATGCCAGGACCCTGAAACTGCAGCAGCTAAATGGAACTCAGTACATTCATTTGACTATTTTCACCTGTGCTTTTACTGCTACACATCATGTCTTATGTGATAAAGCTCTGTTGGACACAAAGTGTTTCCCACAACTCACCACTTCATGGCGTGGTTATAATTCGTGGTCCAAATAAAAAGGGAGCCACAGGGGCATTGGTGGCTTAGTGGTAGAGCAGGCGCCCCATGTACAAGGCCGTTGCCGCAGCGGCCCGGGCTCGACTCCAGCCTGTGGCCCCCTGCTGCATGTCCTTCCCTCTCTCTCTCTCCCCCCTTCACACTTAAGCTGTCCTATCAGTTAAAGGCTAAAACACCCAAAAAATATCTTTAAAAAAAAAAAAGCGAGCCACAATCCTTTAAACTAAGAGCAGACTTGAAGCCTTCAGACGATATCTACTACATTTGTAAATATGGCAAAAAAGAAAAGAAACATGCTTTGGTGCTGAGATTAAAGTATTTGGGGAGATATACTGACCCCATTGATTCTCCTAACACGTCTCTTTACTTTCTCGTCAGGCTGGTCTCAGCATCATGGGTGTTACCTGCATTGTAGGGACAATCCTATTTAGTGTTGCCTTCAAAGACGTACTGTGGATGGTTCTGACACCTGATTTTCTGGTCGTGGTCACACTGATGCCAGTGATTGGCTTTACGCTTGGATATGGCATGTCTGTTTTATGCAGACTCAATCCACAGTAAGTGAATACACGCTAGACGTATCTTTATTTGAGTTGCTTACTTGGTTTTGTTTAATTTCAGGATTTATTTTGGCCTGAAAAGGTAAGTGCATCGAGTAATTCATGAGAAAAAATAAAGAAATAAAGGTCACTTTGTGAACGTTTTTTTAATGCCTCTGTGCCAGCAACAGCCAGCTTTATAATTCTAAGTTTTGGGGTTGTCTGTTCATCTGTCTGTTCGTCCCATTGTCATCATTACGATATCTCAAGAGCGCCTTGAGGGCAGAAACGTTAGCTTGAACTTAACAATGAACTGATTAGATTTTGATGATCATAAGTCAAAGGTCAAGATCACTGTGACTTCATCTGTCTCATTCTTGTGAATATGACATCTCAACAACAGCTTCAGGGAATTTTTTCAAATCTGGCAGAAATGTCCACTTTTAGTCGTGGGTGACCTGATTAGAATTTGGTTGTCAAAGATCAAGGTTACTGTGACCTTGCATCTGTCTCATTCTCGTGATTGGAATCTCAATAAGGCCTTGAGAGAGTTTCCTCACATTTGGCACAACGTGCACAATGTGCCAAAATTTCAAACAAATGTCTAATAGGATATAATGATGAAGTGATGACATTGAATATCCAAAAGGTCAAAGGTCAACTTCATTGTGACATCATAATATTCTGCAAAAACACTTTTCTGGCCACAATTCAACGTCATATCTCAGGAACAGAGGGGGAGATATTTGGTCAGATACTGAATTGGTCACACTAATCTTGAAACTGTGCTGATTGTATAGATCTGTGCTGTTAGGGAGGAAGATGTGTGAAAAATCCATATTTTCACAGTAATAGATGAATAATTTTAATGCAACTTGAGCGTTTTGCAGAGGCATACAACTGCAAGGGGGTAATTCTAGTTTGTTGTTCTTTTATGCCGCATTCCCCCTGCATGGTACAGATCCATGCCAAATTCTGAAGCCCCACTGATCTGAAAATTGTCCCATTTGACCAAAAGCCCATTCTTAACAGCCTGTTTTTCCCAAAACAAATGCTCAATCCTTCAAAGTCCCGTTTCCCTACAAAAAAATGTTTTTACTGACCCTTCATGGCGTTTGTCTGCCATATTTGAGCCACTTAACTCAGGTGTTTTTTCAAACACAATGGGTTTTTGGTCCAGTGGGACATTTTTCGGACTAACGGGGCTTAGGAATTTTAGGCTGTTGGAAAAATGGGCAGTCCTCTGTGGTACAGCATGGCTCTAACTGACTTTTTTGGTTTTCCATTAGCAAAAGCTCTGGATAGTACCTGGTACTTTTTGGTACCATCTCAATTAAAGTTCCAAACAAGCGGAGCTGTTACTAGAGGGTGGATTGGTCAGAGAGAATCGTCACTAGAAATGTTTCTTGCACGACACAATACCTCTTGTACAAACCTACCATTTTTAAATACCAAGCTATCATCACCTGGAAATTAATTCTCTTTCATTAGCAACAACACTATGTAATATGTAATATTAAAACTACCTCTTTTTAGATGCAGCAGGACAGTCTCCATGGAAACAGGGTGTCAAAACATCCAGCTGTGCTTTACCATCCTAAAAGTGGCCTTTCCCCCTGAGATCATTGGACCCATGTTTTTCTTCCCCTTGTTATACTGCATATTCCAGTGTGGTGAAGCCATTCTGCTGTGCCTGTGCTTCAGATGTTACCAAGTATTCAAGCCACCAACTGACGGTAAGTGTCACAGCTATCTGTGTGTTTCTGCATAATGAGACCAAAGGACGCAAAAGTCTAATATCCCCCTTCTCTTATACAGATGGTGTTGACTTTAAAAACGGGACAGAGGAAGAGATTACTACTATCAAATGAGGATGCACCTCTCACTCTCTCAGTATCACCTACATATTCTTCATTGTTCTATACAATATTAACTACAGGTAGTGCCTGTTTAAGTAGGACGTTAATGATTGAAAAATAATGAAGTATTTATATTTTTGTATTCAAAATATCCGATCTAAGATTGAAATGCACTAATTTTATGACTTGAGTATGAATGAATGACTGAATTTATAGTAAGTACTTAGGAAGTACTCTGTGTGTTTGAAGTCAGAGCAGATGACTGTGACATGTGGGGTCCTACAGGGATCCATTTTGGGACCCGTCTTGTTTAATCTCTATATGCTTCCATTAGGCAGAATCACACAAAATAATAATGCAGCCTACCATAATCATGCAGATGACTGGTAAATATACATATCACTTTCACCAGGTAATTATGGACCTGTAGAATGCCGGTGTCACTGTATTGAGCAAATAAATGATTGGATGTGTCAACATTTTTCTCCAACTCAACAGGGATAAGACTGACAATTATCTTTGGCCACGGAAAGAAAGACAGTGTCAGCTCTCACCTTGAATCCCTCTCTCTTAAGGGTCACACAAGAAACCTTGGCATTATCCTGGACTCAGATTTAAATTTCCACAGCCACATCAAATCCATAACGTCATCTGATACCATTTAAAAAACATTGCTAGAGTCAAAGCAAGACCTTGATAGGCTCACCTACGCCTTTATTTCCAGATTATATTACTGCAGTGGTCTGTTTGTATAATTTTCAAAACAAGCTGTACGGCAACTTCAGCTTATTCAAAATGCTGCTGCTAGGGGGACCTGACAAAAACTTGGAAATATGACCACAGTACTCCAGTCCTAAATCCTTACACTGATTACTTGTAACTCAGAGAACTGATTTCAAAATTTTTCTGCTTGTGTATGAATTACTTTGTGGTTCAGCGCCCAAATATATCTCTGACATACTTGTGACATATGAACTTTTCAAGACCCTGAGGATATCTGGGGCTGGCCTACTGACCGTCCCAAGAATCAGGACAAAACATGGTGAAGTAGTGTTTTGTTATCATACAGCACAAACCTGGAATAACCTCAGATATACCAGATATGTTAGACAAGCCCCGACTCTGAACATTATTAAGTCAAAGCTAAAAACATCCCTTTTTACACTACCTACTCCATCCTGTAATGACTGCAACCTCATTTTTAAATAATATTTTTTTTTATCTTTGCAAATTATTAAGTTGAATTTAATACTTTTTAATACCTTTTTTAATACCGTCACAATATTTTTTAATACCAACGCGACTTCAAGCTGCAACTGTGGTGGCAACCTTTCGAACTTCAGTGTTGGGGGTAACTAATTATAAATTAACGGATTACTGTCTTTTTCTTACTTAACTTTCTGAGTGAGTAAGTGTAATGCTTACAATTCAAATCAAGTACCTATTATTACAGTTACTAGATACTTTGTTACTTTTTTGCCTAAAAGAAAAACACTGACCTATACACAATTATTTGTTATTTAACCCTAACCCAAGACAAAAAGTTATTTCATTGTTATGTGTAGGAAGAGCACACACCACTTCTCCAGCGCTACACTCTTTCTTTCACCATCATTCTATCTCAATGAAGACAGAATGACAAATGAAAATCAGAAAAGGTTTAAAAAGTTAAAAACAGAAATGTTTAATTAAATGAATTCAACATTTAACACATGCACAGTTCAAACAGAGAGAGAAAAACTGTCCAACACTGAGATAAAATTAGAGATGAATTGAGAGGGGGGGGTAGTTGGGAGATTCCCGCACGGCTCTATAAAACTTAATGATGTTCTTGTGACTCAGGACACTGAGAATCTCAGCCTGGATGAGGAGACGAGGAAATGAGAAACTAGAGGGTTATGAAGAGCTTCCTTAGCTGCCAGCTTAACAGTTCCAATATCTGACACTGATGAGGAAACATGACCTTTGAGAAAATAATCATCCCTTATTGGATGTAAAGCTAAAATCTGTAGCCTTTGATTTAATCCTGACAGTGTCTCCAGGATGTCTGAACCTTTGTCATAGGACTGACCATTCACACTGCTGTGACAAACATGCTATTAATCTCAACTGACATATAGGTCATAACCTCTGCATATGTGGAATACGTAACTGTTGCCAAGCAACACAATAACTAACCATCAATTTGATAAAATTGTACAACAACTGCAATCAAACACCAAAATATTAACAGAGGAACACAATTCTCTAACAGAAAAAAAGTCTGTTTTCCTAATACTGATTCCACGTGTACGGTTATCCGTGTGTGTGTGTGTGTGTGTGTGTGTGTGTGTGTGTGTGAGAGAGAGAGAGAGAGTTACAAGTGCCTCAACTGTGTGGCCTTTTCCTCTATTATTTTGTCCATTTGTAGCAGTTCAGCTTTTTTGTCTTTGAATCTTCTGTGAAGAGTGTTAGACTTTGTGATTAGCTCGGCCATCTTCGTTCCTGCCTTTCCCTCAGCCATGTCAGCTAACTTGTCTGCGTCTATTTGGAGTGACTCAGTCACACTGCTGAGTACCCTGCGCTTGTTCCGGAGGTCCTCAAGCTCATCCTCTGCTGCTTTCCTCTTGAGTCCTTGTGCAGCACTCTCTTTCTTTTTTCGTTCATGCTCCAGGTATAGCCTTTACTGTGACCTTGCTGAAGCAGCAGAGGCCAGGAGCTCCTTGGTCAAAGGCACTTTGAGAATGCCACCACAGCCGCTGACCTCATCACAAATTAATCTCAGTGCTTCAAGAGATTCGTCAAGAAGGTTACACGTTTCCACCTCCTTGTTAACTGAGAAGCCCCTCTCTACGGTGGCTTGTCCATGGGAGAGGAGGAGAACACTTTGGCAGAACCTTAGCAGCTCAGGGTGGGACGTGCTGAGTTTGGAGTGCAGAAAGACATCCAGACGCTGCTTCATTGGTTGAAAGTACACAAATTCTTCATCTCTGCCCTCAACAGAGAGTAAGGACGTGAACTGCTGAATGATGACATCACCTACAATATTGACAGGAAAGTTAAGATATAATTATTCATGTCAGTAATACATTCCAGTCAACTGCTTCATCATCCATTTGTAGTGTACATACATCACAGCATGATATAATTATTCATGTCAGTAATACATTCCAGTCAACTGCTTCATCATCCATTTGTAGTGTACATACATCACAGCATGACATAATAGTATCCACATAGAGCTACGAGTGCATATATTTAAATTTGGCAAAAGCAAGACATTTTCATGCTTCTCAGAGTAAAAAGGCAGAAAATCACAAATGAAATTTCTAGCACAAGACCTTAAGCAATTTGCATAACCTATCCATTTCTACTGTCCCTATACAATATTTTCTTACCAGCTGGAATGCCACCTGTCAACTGTTTTCCCTGGACGAACATTTGTACTATACTCTTCATCTGTGTGATGCACCACTCAGGATCTCTGTTCATTCTTGTGGGATCCAAACAAGCAATCTGCCTGACCACAGGGAATTTCAGGGGACATTTTTCCTGCAGCTTCCTAACCACCTTAACCAGGCACTGCAAACATTCTCGCCTGAAGGTGAGCACAGAAAGTTCACCTATCTTGCATCCTGGTTTGCCCAGAAGCTCCTAACAAGGAACATTAAGGAACATGCATGTCAATAATTAGACAGGAAATGTTTACTTTTTAAATCTAAATCTGAATAAACTTCTTATGATGATAATAATAATACTGTACTGAACATATTGCATTTGCTGGTTGATTTGTGCAAGCATCACAATACACATATACACCTCCAAAAAGCCAAACCAAATAACCTACAACAAAATTACCTTGATGGCACACTCAGCACCCAGGCCTATGTCAAGATTTCTAAGGGAGACCCAGTTCTTCTCCTCAGACACCTCGATTTGGGTCAGCTGCCGGGGGGTTCGGTCCTGTAGGATCTCCTGTTTCACGAACCGCTGCAGTAAACTCTTATAATTACAACAAGCAGTTAGTAACCAAGTCATTCCTATCAATTGATACAGGTTAATCAAATTCTAATTAATTAATCAAAATCTTAACAGTGATAATTACCATCAAGAGCTCGGTCAAATCTTTGGCCAAAAATGGCAACACTGGCTCGTCTGTTTGGTATCTGGTTAAGTAGGGGTTAAAGCTTCTTGATATGGCAAGAAAGAACTGCAGTTTTGGGATGATAAGAGGGTCCCCTTGTGCTGCCAAGATGGTGTCGTATGAGGCCGTGCTGGGTTTTTTGACCTTCTTCTTCTCTGCAGCATCCACGTACATTTGAAGCATGGGCCAAACTGCTATTGCTCTCTCTGCCACTGGAACATTTTCTATCCATCTATGGCCGCAGAAAGGAAGGGGAAAGCAAGAGGACCTGGTGAGGTTGGTGAAGTCCTCTCTCCGGGCAGGAACATTGTGGAATAGAAAATGCATCCCTCGCAGGTGTTTTTCAAGCTGCCATGCTGTGAAGCCTGCCTTCATTGCGTTGTGGAGGGTATGCAGTCCACAGCTGCCAACATTGATGACTTGAGCACCTCCATGTAGCTCAGCGTGCTCCTTTTGAAGGAGATCCATCAGCTTAAAATTTACATTTGGGCCATCCATTTCGACCGACAGAAGTTGCCTCATGTTCAGTTGTGCAACACATTCCTGTGAACACACAGGGAAAAAAAAAAAGTAAAAAAAAAAAAAAAAGTTAAAATAAAAAATTGTTGAAATAAACTGCATTTAGTATACAGACATGCTTCAACATTGAGAATTCAGACAACCTTAGCCTACAACTATGGCATTACATTTTCCTTAAGTACAACATGAGCCAGGTGTTGGGCTACATATGACAGTGAGATAAGTCATAGGCTTTGTTGTTTTTTAATTAAATAAATCTGCCAATATTATAGCTACTATTACAGACGATGAACAGTAGGCTAAATCGATTAAATCATCACAAATCCATTAAAATGTTCAAATGCTTTGCATGAACATCAATGCCCCTATGTAAGATGGGGGTGTGCAAAGCATCCAGTATTTGTATTTGTATTTTTATTTGTTGAGGGATAAAAAGTATTCGTATTTGTATTCGAATAAAATTCAAATTAGGTGTAAAAATGCAGGTTTTTTGAGTAACACTTCTAATTAAGAATATGTCAGTGTAAAAACAAGTATTCTTTAATTAGCCATTATAAGAATTATGGATGTATATGCAATATTGGTTGTTTTTTCATAAATACAGCAATAAACATGTAACGAGGAACATCATTGAAAAGAAAATAACATACTAACAGCGATTACCTCATCAATGCTTAAACCAACAAGTAATAAATTTCCTTTGAATGAATGGGGGTGAGGGGGTTTACTGTTGGTTCTCTCTCTCTCTCTCTCTCTCTCACTCTCACACACGCACGCGCACACACACACACACACACACACACACACACACACACACACAGTCCCTTTACTGTCTTTCTGCTCGAGTGGGCTGCTTGTCTGTTCTTCTGAGCTCCCAGATGTGATGGATCTGTATGGGCTCGGTCCGAACCGAGAATTACATCGGGCCCCGTCAAGTCTGGGCTTCAGTGCCCGTGTGACGGGCCGCGTCTGGTTTTAATCAATACGGGGATTAACATAGCACACGCGCTCAACAGCATAATTAATAATTATAAGAAAATATACTTACTTTGATGTGCTGCAACAGGTCTTCTGCCCTCGCATGTCCCAGGAATTCGAAACCAAAATACCTTGATGTCACACAGCCATCCTCCAAATACCGAACGTGTATGTCCATCTGGTTTTTTTTTTTGAACATGTATTAAGACTTTCATCAAACATGAGGACGAACGGTCCAGCTTTGTTTACACTTGCAATGAGTTTCTTCTTAAAGTAAGGCGCTAAACCAAACTTGATGATGTAGCTCGTCTTGTCCTTGCCACACGCAAAGTTTTTTGCTATCTCTGAATCCGTAAACATGTTCCTGAAGAGCTCTCCTATCCCCTCATTGGAGCTGTATGAGTGGTGTTTCGTTGCTGTTCCCAGGCACCACAGCACCTCAGCTCGCAACGTTTAAGTGGGGCATAGAGTTTGCTGTCTGAATTGTTTGTTTTGGTTTTTTTCCTGACACTGACTGACGTCACATCCTTGATATCACTCAGGTCCTACTCGCACATATAATTTATATAATAAATAAAAAAAGAGGATTTTTAGGATTTTTAGCCTGCACTTAACACAAATGGAAAAAAACTCATAGTTGGATAGTGGTTTGAAAATTTAATACCTCCTCAGATTACATTTATTACTTTTTAATACCTTTTAATGGCCTTAATTTTGGTAAATTTCATTTACTACCTTTTAATACCTTTTACAACCCCGCGGATCCCCGTGTCTGCACTTTTGCCATTTTTAATGGTGATTTTTTTTTTTTTTTAATTGTAAATAATTTATTAATTTTTATCTTCTTTTTTTAAGATATTTTTGGGCATTTTGAGCCTTTATTTGACAGGACAGACAAGCGTGAAGGGGGGAGAGAGAGAGAGAGGGAGTGACATGCAGCAAAGGGCCACAGGCTGGAGTCGAACCCGGGCCGCTGCAGCAACAGCCTGGTATATGGGGCGCCTGCTCTACCACTAAGCCACCAACGCCCCAATTTTTTTTTTATCTTTTTTGCCTTTACTCTTTTCTGTATCCTTAATTATGTTTTATATTTTATTGCTCTGTAAAGCATGTTGAATTTCCGTGATGTATAAAATGTGCTACACAAATAAAGCTGCCTTGCCTTGCCTATAAAATCTACTGACATGTCATTTGCTCTTCTGAAACTGGAATGTTCAAAAGCAGAGATGAAAAAAAAAACATTACAGGCAATTTGAACACCTCAAATAATATTTAATCAAAATGGTCATATGGTATATACACAGTTAACATAACTTAAATTTTTTTACATATATTAAAATACCATCTTCACAGAAACAAAAAACTCCATTCCTCAGTCCAAAAGAAAATTCAATGGACAGTCAAACAAAGTGAACACTGACATTACACTAATCTGTACACTTGCTCGTTTTTGTGTTGGAGCTTCCCAACCACGTCTACAGTGTCACATATAACGTGCCTGCAATAGAATCAAAACTGAAGCGGCAATGTGAAAAGACCGACTTTTGTTTGAAGGTTCACAAGAGCTGTGGAAGCATCAAAAGAAGCCATGGCTGGTCAACAGCATTCTGGACACAAATAAATTAAATACACCTTTTAGTTTCCTGTTTACACTTAAAAACAGGAATTTTCCAAGCAGCCTAAATAAATTAAGAGAATAATATTTTCTGGTGTACAAGTGATGTGTCTGACAAAGCCACACATAACATCACTAAGCAGTGGAGGCATTTCACTAACATTCATTTTTAAAATTCCTTATTGTACATATTATAGATACCTGTGCATAGAAGTGTAAAGCTAAGGCCATTGGGGACAAGGGGACGAGTATGAGTAGAATACATCTGAACGCTTTGCAGGGGTGAAATGTGTTGAGTGCAGGCCTGAAACAACAAGTCTCTCGAAATGTTTGCCCACAGTCCAATCAAAAACGCAGCAGACTGAACTCTTGGGTGGACATGCAGCCTTAAACTGTACAGTGACGTGGGGAATGGCGTGAGTCGTGATTAATAACACCTTAAATAAAGATTCATAACCACAAAAATCTTTGAAGACAATGCTGTTAAGTGTGCATGACTTGGACAACAATCTAGATTACCTGGCCTTCATGCATCTTTGCTGATGTGTGACCTAAATGATGTGATATGTGGTCAAAAGAAAAGTAACAGTAAACAAGACACTGAGGAGATTATTAGCTCCCAAAGTGAGTTTGCAGCTTTGCCCATTCAACTGAAATACATCAGTCATTTTTTTCAACAGCCTTTAAGACACGCTCCCTCATGAGGTGCCTGTTCCTTTCTCTTTTTGTTCTGCATTTTCAAACTGAGCTTCAGACATTAGACGTACATACACAGTGTAGGAATTCCTATAAAAAAATGTAAGCATGTATGTACATGTAAATCCCTTCTCTGCTCTCCTTTGTGGTTGGACTGAGGAACTATTCTGAGTAACCCACAGCTTCACTCAGAGCCTCTTAAGTTGGCCTCGTCTGTGTTGACAAACTCACAAGAGGCCTTCCGCTCACCAGTACAGGTCAGTAGATAAGTCCTAAGGCTGCTGCATTTTTCAGGCCTCCTTCAGCAATGGCATATCTGTAGACAACAGACAAACACTTGCATCAGTACACAGTGGGGATTTTAAGTCAGTAAAAAGTGTGTTTGACGAGGGCTTTACCATCAGAGTAGTCCATCTCAGAGTCCAGAGACAAGCTGTGTTGGTCGCTGCCTGCAGACGGCCTTCTTTGTGAGGATGAAGGGGCTGCAGCACCTGCGTGCTCCAGAACCCAGGTAGAGGATGAGGGTGAGGGTGACGGGGATGACGAGGACGGTGGCACAGGGTGCACCACAGCCATCTCTGACTGCTGCTGTTTGAGGGAAGAAGGCCTAGAGGGGCCAGCCTCTGGCGCTGGGGCATGCTGACCCTCAGACAGCACTATCTGGACTCGGGACTCAGAGCTGACAGCTGAGGCGGAGGCTCCGCTGGCATTTACAGCCTCCTCGTATGAGGGTAGGGTCACCTGGACTCCTTCCACCATGATAGACACGGGCTGGCCAGACACACCCTGATCACGTCTAGGTGTGGAGGACAAGAGGAAATTTAAAATCTTTCAACTTGTTACTTCTACAAATAGTTTCCTGCCGTATATTGAGGGCAGACTCACCGATGGAGGGACTTCAGTTTTGGCTGCAGGAGTACAAACAGCACCACCAGGAGCAGGATTAGTGCCACTGAGCTGGCTGTGGATGCCACTATGGACAAGGCGGGCATTCCTAATGGTAAAGTTGGATCTCGGTCTGCGAGACAGATAACAGTTAACACAGTAATGTGTGCAAAACTTACTGTAATTATTCATCTTATTGTCCAAATGTGTCATCTAAATTTTTTTTTACCTTGCTCCATGAGGCAACTGAGCTTCATCTGACTGTCCCACTCTCCATACTGGCAAGTAAGGTATTTATAGTCTCCCTTCAGAACGTAGCCTTCATCACAGAAATATTCAATCACAGTGCCATGAGAAAGTCTTTGGCATGGGGCAGGGTGGCAGGTGTAGCCCCCGTTCTCTGGCTGAAATGGAGGCTGGCATACTTTTAAAAAGAAGAAAAGAAAGGAAAACAGTAAATACACAAACTCCAGTGCTGCATATTGTTTCGGTAAGCTATCAGTGCTAAACTGACTTGAACCCTACTGGAAAGGACTACTTTTTGTAGACTGGTAATTATACATCTGAGGGTACAAACATGGCATGAGGAGTTCCCCAAGGCTCCATTCTCATGCCCCTTGTTTTTACAGTAACATTTAATTTGACGGAACAATAGAAGTACAATTACATTTTCTTGTGCCTCTTATCTTCACATGTTCTTACTTGCTCACATTATGGTAAACAACACAATATCTTGAGGAGGTTTGTCTTTACCGTCACTGCGTATACAGCGAGGAGGTTCAGAGGACCAGTGTCCCAGTGTGGAGCAGGTGAGAATGCTGGGTCCATCCGGCAGGTAACCAGGGTCACAGCGGTACACCAGTACTGTGCCCACTGGGAACGAGCTCCTGTTGGTTTCTGTCAGATTAGTTGAGCCATGCTGCACCGTAGAGGGTCTTATGCAACCTTAAAAATGGATGACAGTCAAAAATACAGGTTATAATAGCTGTACTAACCTTCTGATTTGTTCATGTAGCACATTAAAATGTTACAACCTTCTAAGGACATAGGTAGAATATAGTTCAATAAAGTAGTAAATATATAATACACCTAGAGCTGATAGCATCTGTTCATTCAGATTACAGCATGTGTTGATTCCAGGTGTAAAGAGGGTCACAAATGCAGACGGTACTATGAGGAGGTTTGTGTTTACCGTCACTGCGTATACAGCGAGGAGGTTCAGAGGACCAGCGCCCCAGTGGGGTGCAGGTGAGGATGCTGGGTCCGGCCGGCAGGTAACCAGGGTCACAAATATACTGCAGTACCGTGCCCACAGGAAACAAGCTCCTATTGGTGTCTGTCAGATTAGTTGTGCCATGCTGCACCGTGGAGGGTCTTACACAACCTTAGAAAGGGGACGACAGTCAGAAATACAGTTAATATCTGTACTTGTTTTTTTAAATAATAATAAATATAGGATTTGGTTATGTAGCACATTTATGCTACATGTTACATTACAGGTAAAAGAAAGAATTAAAAATAGAGCAAAAAAAACAATAAATTAAAATTAAAATAACGGTGAGCTTAACATAAAAAATTGTTTTGAAGAAGGTTTATATTAAAACAAGATCTTCCGCAGCTTAGACTGTTGATAGTATAAAAGACAATCTCTATGTGGACTGATTTATTCAAAATATCAAATGACAAGTGGGTGTTAAAGACCCATGATGGACTGATAGGTCTGGGTTTGAGGACTGACTGACCTTGGCTCACACAACTGATCTGCATGGGGCCATCCCACTGCCCATCCTGACAGGTCAGGTAGTTATAGTCTCCACTGAGAACAAAGCCATCGTCACAGAAGAACTCAATCACAGTGCCATGGGCAAACATTCGGCAAGGGGATGGGTGGCAGGTGTAGCCCCCATTTTCAGGTCTGGAGAGGGGCAGACAGGCTGAAGGGGGTAAAAAAATGCAACATATGAAGTACCAGCTCAGTTTTAACAGTGCATTGTTTTCGTATTTTTTTAAGTTTATATGTTAGCAAAATTGGCTAAAACAATTACAGAGACTATAGCGCTAAAATAACAGAAAATAAAGATGTATGAACTTATGAGAGACAGATTTTTAAATGCTGCTCTCGACACAGTCACTCCTGATTACTTCATGGGTCAGAAAAAACAGCGGTGGACCAAAATATCTTACCACCACTGCGTATACAGTGAGGAGGATCAGAGGTCCAAAGTCCCAGTGTGGTGCACGTGAGGATGCTGGGTCCGTCTGGCAGGTAACCAGGGTCACAGCTGTACTGCAGCACTGTGCCAACAGGGAACGAGCCCCTGTTGGTTTCTGTGAGGTTTACCCAGCTGTTCTGGACCATGTACGGCCTTACACATCCTGGGAAGAGAAGACCAAAGAAGAATGAATTCTGTGAAACTGCTCAGGTTTTCAGTAGAATTACTATGACAAATATTTTGAACCTGGTTTGAGACATGTTATCCTGTGAAGCCACCAGTAAAAGAGACACAGAATGACCTGCAGTAACCAGTGGGCTCTGCAGCCATGGAGTTAAGTGTTAACAGATGCAAAAAGCAACTTAGAGATACACAAATTGTACTTAATGTGGATTGGCTGTGTCATGGTGGATATAGTGTTTCCTTTGCTATTGGAACTGTAACTAAGGACTGAACTGTCATGATTGTTTTTGAGGCCACTGGTTCAACTTTGACATAATTCAACCACTGGAAGTTTTTTTGTCTAATAAGTTGTAACCCCTACATGGTCTAGATGCACATTAGTGAGATGAATGATTTGTTTTGCTGGGTTGACAAGACAAAGAAAAGTCCAGCACCTTCTTCATTTTTTGGATGTGCGCGGCTGCTCTTTTTGTATTCATTGTTTTGCTGGCTGGCTTTTGGCCAGATAGTAGACTACTTTCTTAGTGTTCAGTGTTTTCCAAAGTGCACACAATGTCCAGCGGGATAAAAAAAAGTAGCAACACTAGCAAAAAATTAATAAACAAAAATAAAGATCATCCAACTAAATATGATATTACGTTAAGGAGCTTGTCTGAATGTCACGAAAAAAAAACGCTTAAAAAGCAATGCCAGGCTGTTTCTGCTAACACAGAAAGGAAAAATAGTTAATGACAGATGAGGTCTATCTGTTCATAATCACTGGAGCCAATTAACAGTGAGTTGATTATTTTTCTAATAAAAGACAATATTTTGTTTATATTTCCAGTTCTAATCATAATTAATTAATGTTATTTTGTAGAACATTGCACAATTAAAATGCAGCTAAAATCATCAATATGTGATTACTATCGCTGTGTGAAAACTATCTCTCTGTTGTTGGAAGCTCTGTTATAAAAACAGAGTTGCACAAGACAGCCTGGAACAATAAAATGATTCTACTGACCTATAAGACTATACATTTGTTTTACCTGTCACCCAGGACTTTCGTCTATGCCTGTTTTTTTTTTCCAGTGATCTGATTCTTCAGTGTCGGGGTGTTGATTGTGATTCGATCCTCTGATGTAAACCTACTCTAGTAGTTTCAGCATAAATTACCACTGTGATATATCCTGTTACCTTGCAAACCTCAAGTACTGCTTCATAGTAAAGGCCTCAGAAGCCGAATTACCCACAGGAGGTCTCCTCCTCCTCCTCCTCCTCCTCCTCCAAACAGAACCAATAATTAAACAGGTAAAAACACTGAATAACCGTGCATTGCATGCACTTGAGGAAAACACTGTTTTTTGTCTACTGTACTGTGGCTTTTAACGTATTTCAAAACTTTTAAGCTTCCAGAGTGGTTCATTATATACTGTAGTATATTCTAAAAATAACACCTCAATGAAACCGATAAATATCAGGTAGGTATAGGGGTGTTTTATTACAGGGTGTCTACAGGTATAAGACACTTAAATCTAATGCTTTTGAAGACATTTTCTAGATCATTTTTAAGCAAATTTAAGACTACATTTTTGGATAAGCATTGCAGGTAAGTACAAATTTTTAGTATACAATGTACGTGGTCTTGTGCAGAGGTGGGCTTTATGTAGAAATATGGTTATTTGAGTGAGTTCAGTTAATCCATGTTTTGTCAACATGTAAGTACAAGTATAAAGTAAAAAGACAGCATCAGTTTCAGTGGTAAGATTTATTTTTTTGCTTTTTTTGTTTTTTTTTTATTGCTATTTTATTGTTTTGCCTTTATCAAGGGTGAAGATTACCCTTACCAGACCAACACAGATCAACACAGACCTAAACAAGGACCCTGGGAACAAAGGGATGACCCCCTTAATATTTACAATATGGTACTGATTTTCTCACCTAACTCTCGACAAGAACGCAAATAATCATTTCCCAAACTATTTCTTTAAAATGTGCACCCAAACACATGCCAATCCACATGAACACGAGTTCTTTATTTAGTCATAGATCAGACAGTTTGTGATCAGAGTTTGTGTAAACATCAGAAATGATGTTTACGCACAAGAGTTTGACTCATGTTGACAAAAAGGAATAAAAAGATGGATAAATGAAATGAGACAAAATATTTGTGGCAATTAAGATGTCACAAATTCAAATGTAAGCATATTTAATGACTTAGTTTTTAACTAAATTTGAGACATGTTAAAACTTTTAAGGACCTACAGACACCCTATATTAACGTTGTACTATTACTGATGATAAACTGGCATATGTTTAAAACTATAGATAAGCGGCAGTCGATCAAGTCTCCCCTGTGCAGTAGAATAAGCAAAACATCCTGTGCATGTCAGGACGCCCTGACAACATCCATTTGGTCTGTGTTGAGACAAAATTAAATTTGGTATTGTTTCTTTAATGGAAAAAAGAATGGTTAACACATCCTCCATAATGCTTTGTGTTTTTTTCTGGGTGTCCAACCATAAATTCTGCCTCTTACCTGACCCTTGCCCAGTGGACACTGCAGTCAGTAGCAGCAGCAACAAGCAGGATCGTTTCGTGGCTGAGATGTGGGGCCAAAAGGCGTTTGATATTGACTCTGCCATTCCATTGCACATCTTCCCCTGCAGAGTCAACTCAACCTGGTATGAACAGGGAAAAATAAATTAAGTAATTACAAACAATGTACACATATATCATGTTTACAAAGCAACCCCTCATAGCGTGGCCATATGCTGTCACCTGCCTGGCGCAGGTACTCTGCAGAGCTTGGAAAGCTGCCAGCGAAATGGGTGTGATTGTGGTAAAATGGTACAATGACAGGACTGAGGGAAAAAAACAACTAGCAATAATGGTGCTATCATTTAGCAAGCTAGCGTCAATTAGAAACCAGTGCCAATTCCTCTGTTTACAGCCGTTCATTCTTCAAGCGAAGCAACGGCTTTAGATAATTATATCTCCCATATCTAAGACATAACTCTGGTTCTGAATGGTTCTGTCTCAGCGGCCATACACCCATTTTCGGTGCTTCCTTGTTAGCCATTATAGCCATGGTTGATACCGTTACAGAGAACAAGGCCAAAACGAAATATATAAACATTTACATATTGCATGTAATGTTTATGATAACCAGCTAGCAACTACGCTGCCACCTATAGCTCATTAACATCAAACAGAGAACACTACAGCTGTTTTTTTTATTGTTGCTATAATCAATACTAGCCTTCCTAGCTTGGTAACGCTAGCTAAACATGAAAAAGGCTCGTTGGTTACCGTTACCCACCACAAAAACACGGCCTCGAATCCTCCACCCTCGCTCTCTCACACCGTAGACATTTATCCAGAATATCTAAGCTACATTTACGATTTTAACGTAGCTGCAAAAATGACGATAATATGGTTTAGCGAGCCGAGCGGTACTGCTGTAGCTAACCGCTAGCTAGCTCCCTATTGGCTAGCCTGTTACCCGCTACGCTAGCTAGCTGCATCAATAGAAACATCAGCTGGGCTGCCTCGATTTCGTCCGGTCGCCATAGTAACATATGCATACATCCATAGTTACAACATCCGGGAATGTTTGCGTCCGTAGTTACCAAAAAATGGGAGGGCAAACTTTGGGAAGTTTCTGTTGACAATTGGTTTTATTTACGCAGCAGCACTTTAACAGTAGTAAATACTTATTTTTTTAGTTTTCTTCTTGAAATACAGCAAAGAAAATCAAATTATGGAAATCATTAGAGGTAGTTTAGATGACATTTCTCGACCTGCATCGAGTGAGCAAACAGGTAGCCGTGTGTCCAGTGTGTCATTGCCTCATAATGACAGAATTTGTCCTACAACTCCACGCAACAGCAACGCCCTCGTTGTTTTGACCAACGATGCTCCTGATATTCAGGTAAAGACCACGCATCGACATTACACTACTCATGATAACGGACTTACAAAGATGGATAATTTTCAGTAACTATAGAAAACAAATCCCTGTAGATCCAGAGCAGCTCTGATGAAACAATCAACTCCTCAGCCAGAGGTCCTGACAAAGGTAAGTGTTCTGATGGAGCAGCTTTTAGGATGGTCCAGTTTTAAGTTACCCCACACTCTATATAATGTTTGTCTTTTAGGTCAGAGTCACGTTGATGTTACTGATGAAGAGGAGGAAGAATCCAAACTGCAGAGAGCCATCGAGAACATGAGACGACTCGATGAAATACTGTCTGCAAAGATCTGTATTGTAAAAGAAGTCAAACGTCAAAGGAAAGAGCTTCAAGCAAAACTCTGGCAAGAGCTCCTGGTAGGCACAATCTTTACATTCACTCCACTTACATTACCAATTCACATGACAAGTACTGTTTCTGACTAAAAACAGGTGCTAAGTGTATGGTGTGATGGTTCACTGTATTTTTTCTGCAGCAGAATAAGCCTGAAGGTCACTCTGAATGTGCCCGAGAAGCCATGAACACAAGGTTGTTTTTGGCTCTGGAAGCGTCCACCGGTGAGCATAGGAAATAGTATACAGATCAGCAATAGTACACACAGTCACTGTCAGACAGACACAACTTAAATGTGGTTTTTATCTTAAAGTGACAGAAGAGGAGGACGACTTTGTGCCTGTGTTTGAAACTCAGGTTCCTGATTGTGAACACGAAAGAAGGAAAAGCCAGTACTTGGAGCGAGGTGAGTTAGCAGAGGTGTGGACTCGAGTCTCAACAAGTCGACTTGCAATTCAGCTTGGACTTAAACACCAATGACTCGTGAATTCACGTGAGCCTTTTGATTTGAAAATAGTTGATACCTTCCCCCAAGCCCAAAGATTAAAAAGTATGACGCATTATGCCTTGTGTAGGACTCAAAACTCAAAGTTTAGGACTCGGGACTTGCCTGTCTTGACTTGGCACTTGAGTACAAAGACTTGAGATTTACTTGTGACTTACAAAACAATGATCTGGTTCCACCTCAGTCAGTTCGTGAAAATTGAACATGATAGAAAATGCAGTACATTTATCACCATGCTAGTTGAGTTCACAGTTGTGCTACCTAGATTGTCCACTTGATGGCACCATGAGCTCAGGGAACTTACAGCTTCCTTTCCCCCTTTATAGTAGGTTGGTGCAAACAGTTGTGCACTAACACAATTTTCCACAAGTAAATGCATAACAGTATACCCGCAATGCAATTCATGAACAATTTCCTGATCAAGATCTTGTGGCTTTTTATGATATCCCTGAGGAAAAATATAACATTTTCTCCCCAAAAGCAGCCCAGGAACTGTGAGGAATTCAGTGTGTTGCTTTGTTTAGAGACATTTAGGCAGGTTGGCTGCATGTTATTATGGGGCCTTGAACTTCTTACACATTAGTTCAAGCATGGTCTTCACATTCATGAGGAGAGTAGTCTGATTTTTATATTTCAGCTTTTAAAATTGTTCAGGCAGCTGCTAAGTCTTTAATTGTGCGGATCAGATGATGGAATAAGAACTCATGGTTGCAAAATGACTCCCATTGAAACTCTGTGATTTGTATCAGATTTTACTAATGGTTATTATTAGAACTCTGACCTTTGACTTACTTATTCAATATTTACCCTTTGGAATCTTAACTGTGGCTTTCTTGACAGGTGAAAGGAGGCCAGACAGCTCGAGAGGATCACTTGAACTGGTCCATGAGGAGACTGAGGAAGAGCAATTTGAAGGTAGCCGCTGTGGAGCTTCCAAAGGCAAGAAAAGACAGAAGGACTTTGTCAAGAGAAACATCGAGGTATGTCAAAGTTCACTTTGGGCCAGATGCAGTCCTGGTGTATGTCGCATTAGAGCAGGCCTCTTGACTGTTTGTTTTTCCAGTTAGGAAAGTATTTGGCTGTAGTGAAAGAGAAAGACATATTAACACTTAGCAGGGCACCACTGAAAAGAAGAGAAATTTTATGCAAGTAATACTTTTTATTCTCTCTGTCTTTATTTCAAACAAATTCAACAGCAAGTAAGTTCTGAGGGGGAGCACGTGCCTTTGACTCAGGCAGAGAAAGAGCGTCTGGCTGAGCTCCTCCGAGAAGTAGACGAAGAGGAAGAGGACAGTGCCAGAGGTGCAGACGACGAGGTAGGCTGACATGAAGCCCTAACAGACAACATATGCTGTAGGATGAGTCTCTCTCCTTTTTAAGTTCCTTAATACTTCCCCCTCATGTCCAGAACTCTTATGGGGAGCAGGAGATGATCCCATCCACTGCCTCTGCAAGCAACGTTTGATCTAATATTGTGATCTAATGTTTTCTACATTGAAAACATTATCGTTAAGCCACAGCCTTTAAAAACAATCTTGCTGTCAATAAAATGTTTCTTTCATTATCTTAATTGTTAGAATCTGTGTCATCATCTAACACTTGGCCTTTTGAATGCCGTTATTAAAGGCATTAAGTAACTCAACGAGACTTTGGCCCCTTTTAACGGCACATAGCGAAACATTGGTCAGACATCCATGTTTTGATGACTGCTTGGCAGCTCAGACGGCCTCTGGGCAGAAGATTCTGACTCCTCAAAGCAGTTCAGATTATGAACCAGATGTCAAGTGCCATATGCAGTTCACATGGAAGGCCGATTGTTATGGACTCATTTTGTTACCAGGCTTTCATAATAATTCCCTCTGTGGCGTTTCTGCGAAATTCATATAGCCCTAATATCAGCATTAAAAGCGAAGGTGTGCTGATAAAGCTTAAAGCTAAGAGACTGAGGCCTCTTGTTTTTCTTTGAGGATTCATCTGAGACCCTGTGCCACCTGGAAGCAGTAGGCTGTTTCACTGTCAACCCATCTAAACTGTGCAAACTTCAAATGTTTTTTATTTTAAGTTTTAATTTGCTTTAATAGCCCTTCTGGCAGCTGTGAGGCCAGTTTGAAGTCAGATGGGATGAAGCCTGTTGGGAAGCAAAAGGGAACATACTTACCTTTCACATACGGTTCCATTTAGCTTGACCCCGACAGCTCTGCATCCGTAGGACAGCTTGCCAGAGTTTTTTTTTTCATGTCTTGCTGCTCTATTTATGATGTTTGCCTTGACTTTTAGAACAATACTGCAGTAATTGTGATGGCAGATACCAAACTGAGGGGAGCGCAGATGCTCTGGGTTTTTTTATTGGCTTGAGGAAGACTTCCTGTTATTCCGAGGCATGCTATTATGAATGGTCAAAACGGAGCGAGCACATTATTTATGTCACCAGGACTTTGGCAGTGATGTGTCTTTAGTTCTGAGGACTTCACTCAGTTCTTGGCAGAATCCCCTGGGACACATCAACCACAAGCTGCTGCTCCCTGTTTGCCTCACACACGTTTTGTGATGTTACTGACTCTCATCCTAACAAGTTGCACAGTTGTGTGTACTTCTGGTAACCCGAGGCAGTAAATCAGTAGCAGTCAGTAATCGTAGAATATTTTGGTGCCGCAGTAGTGCACATAATGTCTTGCTTTATCAAAGGAAAGCTTTGACATATGTAAAATTCTTTTCTGTTTTCTTATTGAGAGTTAAGGAAGAGATTGATCCCACTCGCATGTATGTACAGTAAATCTAAGGCCATAACCAGTAAACTTGAGAGAGACCAATGGGCCTACCCTTTCAAAACATTAAAACCATTTGTGGGTGAAGTGAGTAACATTGATCATTTTGTTACAATGCAATGTTCTGCTGAGAAACCTTGGGTCCTAGCATTCATGTGGAGGCCACTTGACTTGCCCCATCAACCCAAACACTGCTGCAGACCAAGTATACCCCCTCAAGGCAACAGCATTCCCCGATGGCAGTGGTCCCCCAGAAGGACAATGCACCATGTCCCACAGCAAATATGGTTCATGAATGGCCTGAGGAGCACAACAAAGAGCTCAAGGTGCCGACCTGGCCTCAAAATTGACCAGTTCCCAATCTGATGGAGCATCTGTGGGATGTGTCGGTATCCCAGAGGTACCCCCGATCCACGGTGGGGCCTCCTCGGGTCAGACTTGGCTCTGACCTGTTGAGGCATGGACCCAGGACCACTGGGGGGTGTCCTGTAGTGTCTGGTACTGGGGCATCGGCAGTGGATCCTTTGAGTCCTGTGGGTTATGAGGTGAAGTATGGACACGTCCCACAGATGCTCAATTGGATAAGGATCTGGGAAATTTGGAGTTGAGGTTGATGCCTTGAACTCTTTGTCACACTCCTTGGGCCATTCCTGAGCAGTTTTTGTGGTGTGGCATGGTGCATTGTCCTGCTGGGGGTCCACTCCCACTGGGGAGTGTCATTACCATGGGGGTGGTACTCGGTCTACAATGGTGTTCAGGCTGGTGGAGTGTGTCAGATGGCATCCAAATGAATGCCAGGACCCAAGGTTTCCCAACAGAACATTGCATTGTAACAAGATGATTAGATAGGGTGTTGGATGGCCCACTGACCATATTCTAATTCACAATGAAAATAAATTTATTCACACCAGGATTTTTTTTTTACACATTAAATGTAAATAATGTAGTCAAAATAGAGCCTGCTTATAGAAAAAAGTGCCCATAGAGGCTCCTCAGGACTTCCCTGACAGACTAAGCCCAAAAGGTCTGTGAATCCTAGAGATGCCCCTTGATACACCTGAACTATGCAGGGCTGCTACTTGTTTTTAACTGACCTCTGTTGTTTTGCAAAAGTGCCCCCTTGGCAAAACAAGTTGAGTATCCCTGGTATAAAATTTCTGTTAACAAAGAGAAAGGCAGAAGCACAGTACTTAAATTTTTTTTTTACCCCTACTCCCCTTCCCTTACCCCACCTCAACCTCAGATAACAAACAAAACAGAACCAAACAAAGTACACATTAAGGGAAAATAAAATAAAATATGTCACAGGGAGAAAAAAATAAATATAAATTATAGCTGCTGCGCAGCGATGGGTCAGGTCCGGGCATTTTTAGGCAATTCTGAGCAACCTCTGGAACCTAAGACGGTCATCTACCGCTCTGAGCTAATTGGCAAGTAGCAACTCAACAGTGGCTTCACAAATTGAGTAAGCCATTCACTGTTGTGTAGGAAAGCAGCCATCCGTGCATGGAAAGGCAGATTTGAAACCACTGTAAAAAATTCAGGTATTAAGACAAAAATCTGAAAATACACATATTGCATCTAGACAGCATGGAGACATTGGTAACGTGTTTGTAACAATGATTGATTTGCTCCATAAGTGAAAAACTGATGTTTAAAATTGCCATTTTTACATTGACGCCAATTGTTCACATTAGAGCAAAATTCAAAATGCTGTCAAAAATTCAGTTTTTGAGATAAAATTCTGAAATTTGCCACACATCTACCATGACTCTAGAATTTTGTCATTTTTTTCATGAACATTGAAGATTTAGCAAGAATTTGCATATTTGCAAATTTTACAGTTTTTGAAAAAAACAAAGTGATGAACTTCATAATTTTTAATAGGTTTAAATGTACAAATGTTTCTTCAGTATGGGGGCTACAGTTTGATGAAAGTTGTGAAGTTGTAGCACGTATGGTTGATTTGTTATGAATTTTCAAAGTTTTGAACTTTAGACGTTTGCTGTAGCGCCACCATCAGGACTATTGGCTTGAGTTTACAGCTGAGGATATCTGGCATGAGACTGGACCTTTGTGCAAAGTTTGGTGAGTTTTCACCCATGGGAAGTATGATTTCCTCGGAAGAAGAAAGAAGAAAGAAGAAGAATACCTAGGATTACAATAGTGTTCTGGCAGCTTAGCTGCCCGGACCCTAATAATAGTACGATTCAAAAGGATTCAGTCTCCTAACTTGTCAGGCCTAGCTTAATATCTACCAATACCATTACTCATGCTAAATATGAAGCTAGAGCCAGGGTGTGATGACAGCGAGGTTATGGACCCAAAATGCAGACAGACCGAGGGAAAAGGGTTTAACAGTTTTATTGAGCCAGAATGATGCAGAGAACAAAGGAGATCCG